ATTTCCATGTAGAAACAAAAGTAGCAGCTTGCTTCTAACAGAAACAGAATGTAAGAATCACTTTCATGAATTTCAGTTAAATTCATTCCTAAAAGCTGTGTTATTTCTGTCATTACCAAACCTGATCTCAGCTTGCTGTCATCCTCTTCTGTTTTCTCTCCTTCCTTTTCACGCTCAATTCCTCCTTCCTTTCTGTATGCTGAGTAAGACCCCATGATCTCAAAGTGTCATACCAGGCAAAATAAGAAGATGTAGGGAGGCTGGAGGAGAGGGAAAGGAAATGGAAAACCAGGGAAAGGCTGTGAGGGAGGTTTGTTATATATTCAGAGAAGTAGGAGAGGAGTACAGTGGAAACCCAAATTTTCATTAATCTCCTGCCCACCTCCCCCTCCTCTTCTGTGTGGCGGAGCAAAATGTAGGTCTGAGCTCTGCCTACAGCCATCAGCAACAATCAGTTCTGCCCCAGTTACTGACGCATCTCCCAGACAAAACACACACAGATCACAACAGGCAAAAACATACAGATGCACACGGAGACAGCAGCAATATGCTCAGAATCCCGCACATGCATATACAGACAACAAAGATTCACCTGCTGCATCTTCAGCTGGACTGCAGCAATTCGAACGAATATTTGGAATTTATTATATTTCATAGGTTAATAAGAAGACAGCCTGGATACACACCCATCAGTGTCTACGGCGTCATAGTTTAGCTCTAAGCAGAAGGTTTGAAACACATTGACAGTTGATTTAACATTTTTAAGGGGGTTTACTTCTATTGAAATGTTTTCTATTGTGCTTGTTTCTTTTTTTTATGGATTGTTTCAGCTGTAATGGTTTAACACGCTCCACAAGAGGGCTCCACAGGTATGTTGAGTTATACATTGATTAGTTTAATCAAATTTTAACAGAGGTAACATAGATTACTAAGTAGCATATAACAAACAACATGTTATGTGAAGCATCTATCAAGAGTACACAGATAGATGTACTCATCCATAGATTTAAATGAGTACACCTCACCTAACTTGATAAATGAGGTTTCACCAGTCACTTGAACTTAAATCCAATAGAATTTTACATATTGTATGCCTTTTACATTACCATGCTGTAGTCACTCTTCTCCAGATAAAAAATGAATTAATAAATTTGAAGCTGTCACGCTTAAACTTTTAGTGCCATGCCGATATGACCCAGTTATAATCGACTAACATAATTCAAATTGGAATTTCCTTAAATAGATCATTGTAAAGTGAAACATCTCAGTGCCCATCTGGGCAGCTCATTGCATGCCCCACAAGATGATTGCTATTTCTGTTCATCACATCCTCAGTGCATGCTCTCCCATATTCTATGCCACTCTTAGCATATAATCGTATTATTCCAAAGTTATAATGTAACATATTTTGAGAGAACCATTTCAAAGCAATGTGGACATTGTTTAACTCAATGTCCACCCTTAAAGGAGTAAGTTGTGACACAAACCTGGTCTGAAACGAGTAGGGAAGAAGAGACTGAGGACATCAGTTTAAGGTGGAACCATAAAGAAAATGGCTCTTAATTGATTAGAAAATACCATAGGAAAGTAAAAGAGTGTTGAGAAAAGAGAACTTTGACATCAGGACCGTGGCGGGGAGAGGTGGAAGACAAACAGCGGAGGGAATCTGCTCTCATTAAATTTTCACACTCAGCCATTTTAAATTATTTAAAAGCCATGTTGCATTGCGTCTCTGGTACAGTGTGAGCCCTCAAGTTCATAAAACATCAACAAAGGGATGCATCCACACAATCACGCACCAGCCAAGCACATGTATATTAATCATCTGGAAACATTGCACAAACACACATTCATGACATGCCAGCTATGCATTAAGAAGTGCATGGACAATCCCAGGGGAGCTGATTAGGTTAAAACATGTCAGGGAGTCTCCTTATTTCCTCAATCACACATGAGCCGCACCACCATGATAGTTCTTTTTTATTGTGGTCATGCATATGTGCACTCACATGTGCTCTTGAAGACCATTCTTTATGTTAACCCATTCGGTTTGATAAATAATACATATATCTTAAAAGAGAACTAAAAATCATGTGAGACTTGTTTACATTTTGGTTGTGAATGCAAGGTAAAATGAATCAACATATGCACATATTTGCAGTCTGGTCTATTCGTGTTACAGCCACACAATTCAGCATGTGCAAAGAATGATTGCCAGTTATTACTATTAATTTACCAAAACCGTAACCAGGGACTTGTTAAGGTTTAACTGATATCGGTAAAAGAAAAAAAATGCATTCCATTCACTTTAACCAAATCTGATTTTTTAAATTTTATTTTAGAACTTAGACATGTATTGTTGCAAGGGAAATAGCTTCAAATTTTCACAAGATTGGGGAACATAAATATAAAAAAACACGACCAGAAGTGTTCGACAAATGAACTCCCATAGAGCAGACTTGCATATCTTAAATCCGTTCTTCACAAAAATGTTTAAAAAAGGTACGAGTAGTGCTGAATCTTTTCTTCTCCTCAGACACATTGTCTGCTGCTTGGCCCAGATACATCACACTGTCTGGGTACGGCATGGCAACAAGGCATCTGATGAAAGACTAGAGAGGAGAGCAATGGAAAGACAGAAACAAGATCAGGACTGCAGAGACCAAGGAAACAGGTAGAAACCGAAAACAAGGGGGGGGGGTCGCATGGGGAAATGAATATACACCGAAGCACTTGTGAGGGCGTAAGACAAGTGAAGCAAGGAGGAAGATGGATGTCATTTCATCATGGAGGTGAATGCCATGGGAGGCCAAGGAAAAGCTCATCTCCAAGGAGCCAGTTCACCAAGAATCCAAAGTCTTGAATATTTGAAACGGTGTGTGATCACCGTAGATTACACGAGCAGTCCATGGATAAGTCCTCCCAGCGGAGATGAGCAGAATATGAGGTCGTAAAGTTTGGAGACTGATGGAGCAATATGAGAAGTTTTACTGCATTTGTCAACCTTGGCGTTCCATGGAGCATAGTTCACGGTTGCCCTTTACAGCTCAGTTCTGCTCTCTAGTGGTTAACATGACCACGCGCCTCTGAGAGCTCATGTGTGGAACTGATGTTCTTGATTCTTGATTTTATTTAACCAATTCCTATCATTGAGGGGCTTGAAAAAATAGAAAATAGGAGAGCTCAGTTGAAAAGCAAAACTTTTGCTGGAGGAGTCTTGATGATACTTGTTAGGGAAATTTGTATATAAATTTGGTTGAGACTATTGAAATTATTTAAGAGTATTTTAGTGTCTTGCGTAAAAGCTCTAATATGTTTTTTTTTCAATCAGATTTGGGGTCCACAGCATTCTTAGGAGGGTTTTTTTATTTAGAATTTTATTATAAGTATTTAGAAAAAAGGGCTTAGTCTAATATTACTAAACTGTTTTCATATTCAAGTGACTCAATTCACGGGTGGTGGTTATTTCTTGATATGATATTCATACAAAACGTTTTATATCTGTATATGTTTAATTTGTAAAAAAATATTCCCAAAAATATATCTATTAAAACACGTTAAGAAAAAAAAAACAATGATCCCTTTACAAAGCTCAATATAGTTTACGTCGGTTAAATATTCCTGGGAATATTTATAAAATGTTTTGGCGTTTTATCGAATTTTACATTAGAACCTACCCAGCCTAACCATGACAACCAGTCACCGAAAAGCCTCCGACCGTATTGACCTATCACAGCAAACAATTTTTTTCCCACTCTTCCGCATCTCCAGTGCAATCTAGCTCGGACCACATTGAAACTCTTGTGAGCTAGTCAGGCGCTTGTGGCTCCAGTCAGCGTCCGTCCAATCAAAAGTCAACAAACCACCTCTGGCCCGCCTCTTTGAAAATATGATTGGTTGAATGCCAAATCGTAATGGCCTTATGGGTGGAGTCGGTTTGGCTGCGCCGTATCCCATGTAGCGGATACAAAGGCGGCGGTTAACTGTTCCTGTAGTTCAGAGGAGGTGTACAGAGTGCTCTCTGTAACGTTACAGCTGGTGAGTGGGACACGGTGTAATGCTGCATATTTGAAAGAATTATTTAATGTCCATAACTAATTGATTCTAACGTAGGCAGCGAATTATAGAAGAATGGCTTTGTTATTGCAGTAATATGAGCAATGCATTTTTTTGCAAAAGATGGAAAAAAACACGTTAATAAAGGATATGGTTTGAGATAATGGATTAGTTTGCATGTTTAACCTAAAAAGTGGGATGATTTATCTCGTTTTGCGTTACGTAACCAGAATTTGCTCCCCTTCCATTTTCCATATGTCCAAAGAAAAAACATCCCCGGGGGGACGAGCATTTTTTTCTTTTCCTTTACATTTTTAAATGACTAATTATCGGAATAAGTGTTTTATGCTAATAGTTTAAATCTGCCCTGCTACTGTGTTTTACGTTTGCTCTCCCAGTTGTGTTTACTTGTGTGTCTCGTGCTGTGGGAACACAAATCAGTGACATGGTCACACTCTGGGGCTACGCCCCCTTTGGGAGATAAAGTGAAGGCTAAATATCTGTTATACGTTGTAAAACGTTAATAAACGCTTGTCTGAAGGTTAAAGGTAAATTAAAGAGATGTTTATGGACAGGGTTATGTAATGTAGCCGAGGGCATGGTTGAAGTATCTCCAGAAAATGAATGTTGAGGGGTGTAAAATCTTGCGAGGAGATGGTATCAAGTCTGTGCGTGCATGAACATTCTGCTTGTTACCTCAATGACATGCTGTTTAACTCCCCCTAGTATCATGCTGTTTGGCTTTTATAACAATCCACACTTTTCACATGGTATGCCCAAAAGACTTGGCATTAAGTCTGGAAAAGGGTAAAAGGTGGATTCATTTCGTAGTCTTTTCTGCTTAGTGGATGTTACAGGGTGGCGTGCAAAGTCCAGCACCGTTGGCTGCATAAGAGATCCCCGCTGATAACCTGATCCCTTCACCAGAGTTCGGCGCGGTGACAATGGAGGCAACCAGGAGACGAGCCCAGCCCAGCGCCAATGGGAAATCGCCTGAACAGGTGGATCAGGCGGCGCAGTGGGGGAGGGCATGGTGAGTTGTTATTCCACAGGTCTCCGTGGATTTTTTCCCCTTTTAAAAAAGAAAAAAACAAAAACTTTCAATTGGCGTTCCTTCCAACTTGTGAGAGAATCACACCTATTTTTGCTCTTAACGGCAGCCCAGAATACACCTACTGGCATGTCCAAAGTCAGATATGTAGCCTACACAGAATCTTGAGTGGAAGTAATCACTTGAATGTGGTCCAATAAGACGGTGACATCCTTCCAATTAATTTATATGACAGAACATTTGACAGAAATCCCTGACGTCGTCAGCTGACTGATTTTTGCTCATATTTGCATGTGAAACGAGTTCTCAGAGGAGAAATTTCCATGTCACTGGTTATACAAAACTGAGCATTTCTGATCATTATCAGTAGCATCTCTGCATTTAGAATTTATGGCTGATTCAAACACATAATCCTTGATACACCGAATTACCTCTCGATTTGCATAGACAAGATAGCGACGCAACCTTATGCAATCGCAGGACACCCTGAGTTACTTCATTTATAAGTGCACAACTTGGCTGACTTCACATCTGTAAACGATGTTCAAATTCACCAACTTGATTTGTGTACTATTAAATCGTTTTGATGAGGGGGAGTTTATCAGCAGGCAGCTCAAGGTTGGAATTTTTGTAGAACGTTGTTTACATCATACCTCAATGATTTGTTTTTTTTCCTCCTGAGCCGTATTTGCAACATGTAGATCTTTCACGCTGATTGTAACTGGAGAAACATGATTTGTGAGCTCGTGTGAATAATCTCATCCACAGCTGGAATTTATACTTATGTCCCGCCCTCACGCCGTGCGTTTATCTGCTCCTCTCTCAGGGAGGTGGACTGGTTTTCCCTCCTCAGCGTGATCGGCCTCCTGTGCTTCGCCCCCTTCATCGTCTTCTACTTCGTGATGGCCTGCGACCAGTACCAGTGCTCCATCAGCCAGCCGCTGGTCGAGCTGTATCGGGGAGAGACGACCCTGCTCTCCATCTGGACCCGGGCCCCCTCCTTCACATGGACGGCTGCTAAGATATATGCCATCTGGGTGGGCTTCCAGGTAAGAGGAGAGGAGAGAAAGCAGTGGGACTCAACCTTTGCCCTTTGTCATTAACTAAAGCAGACTTGTCTTGTCCTTTCAGGTGTTCCTCTATATGTGTGTTCCAGATATTACGCACAAGTTTATTCCCGGTTATGTTGGTGGAGTACAGGATGGAGCGCGGACCCCTGCTGGTATGTAAAATCTAATCATTGAAAATACATTTTAATTCAACATGTTGTTTTATGAGTGATTGACTTTAGCCTATTCGTGCTGTATGTTCGTAGTTTGTCTTCAACGTTTTTCTTTTCTTTTAAAAAGGTCTCATTAACAAGTATGAGATCAACGGGCTGCAGTGCTGGTTGATCACTCATGCCTTGTGGTTCCTCAACGCCAAGTACTTTCACTGGTTTTCTCCCACCATCGTCTTTGATAACTGGATCCCCCTGATGTGGTGCACCAACATACTGGGCTACGCTGTGTCCACTTTTGCCTTCATAAAGGCGTACTTGTTCCCCACCAATGCTGAAGACTGGTGAGTTTTTCCGTCCCGTCGTATTTTCTGTCATTTACTTGTCGTATTTTTCACTTTTGGGTGACCTTCTTTTTCACTTTTCGGGGGGGGGATTCCTCAGCAAGTTCACGGGAAACGTCTTCTATAACTACATGATGGGTATCGAGTTTAACCCGCGCATCGGGGAGTGGTTCGACTTCAAGCTGTTCTTCAACGGCAGACCGGGCATTGTCGCCTGGACTCTGATCAACCTGTCCTACATGGCCAAGCAGGAGGAACTGTACGGCCACGTGACCAACTCCATGATTCTGGTCAATGTTCTGCAGGTAAGGTGGAAAATGATGTCTTTTAAAGCTGTGTGAAAGGACTTATGTAACCAAATTAATTTAAGTCATTCAAATCCCTTTGGGAGTAAAAACGCTGTAAAAATAGAAATGTTTTTTTCAAAAATTCAAATTGTGAAAATAAGTATTTACTTTAAAAGCAGTCAGACAAGTTCTTAAATTTGGAGCTGAAAGAGACCTTCTGGTGTGTCAAAGGTTTAGATCCAAACATGTAGTGACATTTTTTTTTTTTCTTGTTTTCGTGTCAGGCTAAAAACAGACTTTTGAAATACTGCACTAAATCAGAAATTTCAAACATGGATGGACACATCAAGACAATGTGTCTGCAAGTGGAACATCCGTCTTTACGCACAGTGTGACTCAAACTCATTTCAACTGTTCCCACTCTGAGCTTTGACCAGAGAATATTAGGAGAAACCAGCTGCCACCTCGACTGTTGTTGACCGTCAGTTGTTTTGCAGTGGGAGTAAATCCCTCTATTTAATCAAAAGCATATGCTTTAGATTTGAGTGAATTCCTTGCTTTCCTATTCTGGTTTAGCTCTGCTCACTCTGCGTCTGACCTTGTCCCTCTATTTTATAGACACAAGCTTCTTTAGAGTCCCAACCTGAGGCTGAGAATGATCTGAATTCAGATTTCATATAATGTTTCGTGTCTCCTCTGGGAATTATGGAGTTGATCCGATTCTTTGAAAATATAAACTGGAAAATCACAAAAGAACTATTTAGTCCTTTGGTGACATGCTTGTGGACTGTAGGGGAATTCAAAATTTGTGATCACTAAAAAGGAAACCATGTTACACATATAGGTCTCAAATAGCAGTTTTGTCTGTAATTTACAAGCACAGAGGAAGAACTGTTCTCCTGTAAAAAGATACATTCTTAAGAAGAGCCAATTAAGCATTTAAACAAGGAAGTGTGTACTTTGGTTTTTGAGACAGTCGGTTAGTTAAAAAAGCCCTGTACTGACCTGGTCTAAAGGGGGATATGCAGCCATTGTTTTGGAGTTTGGCAAACATCAGTCACTAAAACTGGTTCACCTGCACTACCTGTATACGGCCAAAGAGACTAGTGCAGTTAAATGGGCCTTTTCAGGACAAACCTTCAGCTAGATGTCAGCGAAAGGTGTGCAAGTCGTTAATACTGACATCTTGTGGCCAAATTGGTGATGACAACTACCTCAAAAAACGACTGACTGGCAACACATTGTTTCTATATTCAAAGGTTAAATCACTCATTTTGACACAAACTAAAAGGTGGAATCTAACTACATGATTATTGATCATGCATGTTATATATTTAATTTTTTAATTATTATTTATTTCATTTTACACTCTGTAACTTGTCATTGGTGTTCTGTAGTTGCTGTAATAATCTGCATATAAATCCTTCCACCCATCCATCCATTTTCGTAACCGCTTAATCCCAAATGGGGTTGCAGGGGGACTGGAGCCTAACCCAGTAGTCAGTGGGCGAGAGGATTCTGTGAAAAGTAATGACTCATCACGGCCTGAGTTTTTTTTTTTTCCACCATCTTTGTTAAGGTAGTTAGCTTGTAGTTTTGATCTCAGACCACTTGGGCAAAAGAGCATCTTTCAACAGAAAAGTTGTATTTGATCAAAAATACGGTATTGCGCAGTATTACTTTAACTTCACAGGCAACTCTTTCAACTGAAGACTTTCACCACTCTTTGCATTTTTAAATCTTTCATGCCTCTTAGCTATTAAGAGCTGATTTTTTATGCTACTGTTTAAAAAAATATATGCAAAGAAAATATTCTATCCAGCTATCAGCCACACTTTATAAATTAAATCTGAATCTAAATAAAAATCTCCACCAATAGGCTCCTGTCTTCATCTTCAGGGGAGACATTTGGTGATTTGAGTTGGAAGCATTGTAACTTACTTCTGATTATTGGGTCTTCTAAATACTCTACACTGACTTTGTAATATCGGAATGTTTAGTTGTTGCCTCTTATTTTCGGATCCGATTTCGCCTTGGCTTTACTTCGTATGCTCTCTCTGCAAATAACCAGCATATGTTGAGATATGCATCAGTTTGTCAAGTACTGTACATGTTGTACTAATATTAGCAATATTTGACACATGCTGGTTGGTTTCGGACATTATTAAAAGTATTCAGGGCATAACAGGATCCTTTGTGCTGTCTTGTAGGGTATTTACGTGTTGGATTTCTTCTGGAATGAGGCGTGGTACCTGAAGACCATCGATATCTGCCACGACCACTTTGGATGGTATCTGGGCTGGGGGGACTGCGTCTGGCTGCCATACCTCTACACTCTGCAGGTAAAATACACGAACACACGTCACATCATTAAGCTTAACAACAATTGTCTGGCATCAGACATTTGCAGGGTCACATTGCCAGAAAATACGAGCAAAATCTATAAAATTCAAAATGTAATAAGAAAAAAGTAAAGCAAAGGTGCTTATCAAAACCAAGACAGCTGGTAATAAATTTGTGGTTTTTAGAAAGTTTCAACTAAATTCCAAATCTAATGTCTCTGACTTAAAACGTAAGATGTTTAACAGTTAACAACCATTTGTTTTCAGGGCCTGTACCTGGTTTACCAACCCGTGCAGCTCTCGGACACCCAGGCTTTAGCTGTCCTGGCGCTGGGCCTCGTGGGCTATTACATATTCCGCTCCACCAACCACCAGAAGGATCTGTTCCGCCGCACCGAGGGCTCCTGCTCCATCTGGGGCCAAAAGCCCAGCTACATCGAGTGCTCGTACCGCTCCTCGGACGGCGGCCTCCACCGCAGCAAGCTGCTGACCTCGGGCTTCTGGGGCGTGGCCAGGCACCTGAACTACACCGGCGACCTGATGGGCTCGCTGGCCTACTGCGCCGCCTGCGGGTTCGGCCACCTGCTCCCGTACTTCTACATCGTGTACATGACCATCCTGCTGGTCCATCGCTGCGTGCGCGACGAACACCGCTGCAGCAGCAAGTACGGCAAAGACTGGAGCCGCTACACCGACGCCGTGCCTTACCGGCTCATTCCCGGAGTGTTTTAGACAGGGAGGGAGGGTCAGACAGAGAAGGGAAGGGAGCAATTATTAAATATACATTTATATTTCATATCACCACATTTCATTAGCCACCTTTCAAACTTCCTTTTGGTACAACTCCTACATGAAGATGCTGTGCATGTGTATATGTAGTTTGATTGAAATGAAGTGTAGACAGTTTGATCTTGTCTTTTGGTTTCTTGCTGTCTGGAAGTTAAACCTTAGTTAAAACACACACACACACACGTACACACACACACACATTTAACCGTGCAAGGTGCTTACCATCAGTTTTTATTTGAAACAATACGGTGACACCTCCTTCGCTGTATCGGAAGTATTCAAATAATTCAATATTGGACAGATTTTTTCTTAATTTCAAACTCATTCATCAACAACAGATTCTGGATTATGTTTCTCATTATTCTTACTGTAGCATCTATGGTTTGACGCTCAACACTCAGGTCAGTTCTAGTCTGTGGACTAAATGATCTATTGTGATGTGTATATATTAAGAAAAAATGTGTTACTCATTAACACTGACTGCAGTGGGGTTTTTTGTTAGTTGGTTTATTGGACCAGATCTCATTAAGTGTGAAACCTGCAACACAGTAATGTTCTCGGACCTTTGTACAGAGGTTACCTGTGGCTAATGCCGTACTTGATCAACTTATAAGCCTTCGAGATCAGATCACTGATTTCTACATGTTTCTGTGATGAGAAAAACATATTTTAATGTATGTACTTCATTATAAAGACACTATTTTTATTGCAATATGCTATGAAGTAAATAAACATGAATATATTCTGACAGTTGTCCATTTCATTTACTGACACTGTGACTTTAAATGAATGTCATTACACGTTTTTCACATATTACATCAATACACTCAAAACCGAAAGTTTGATTTTGATGTTTTTTTTGTATGTTTTATGTTTTTAGATAGTATGTTTTATTATAAAACTTTAAACAAAAAACTAATCAGACATTCAATTTAAATGTCTCATGTAATTTGCCATATAGCCACTAGAGGGTAGCAGAGTACAGCGAATCCCAAAGAATGTAGCCTTACCTTTAATGTTGAATGGCTTTTTATTATATTGAATTCTACAGCTATTTAAGCGGTATACACATGCACCAAGCAGCTTTAGCCAAAGTATGATATAATACAATTACACAACATCAGAATTATTTGTTGAATTTAAATTTAGATTTGTAAGACTAACCATAACTGACAAAAAATCCTGCAATATGCTGAATAATGATTTTTTGTGTGTGTGTTCATTAGTTACCCAGTGATGAAACCTTTACCGAACTCTTGCCCTAAAGTTAAAGGTTTAAAAAAAGTTCGGAGTGTTTAGGAGTTTCCAACATTGTAATTTCTGACACCAGAGCTCATTCCAGTTGTTATGACTGAAGGCAATATGCAAAACAACCATTACAGAGCAGTGATGTATCATCTGTTGGAGTATGCAGTATAGTTAATCAAACATTCAAAATGTTTCAAGATAGTTCCCATCAGATGAAGACATATATAAAGTAAATTTTCTATTTGACAGCTTTCATTAAATACAAATTGATCTTATCCACCTGACCATAGGGCTTAATGTACATTTTAAACACATCAGAGACCTACATCCTAAACTCCACCATCAGCATAATGATACACCTCATGGATGAAAATCAGTTATGGGAACGGAAGGCTCATTGATTTCTCTTCTTCCTTTGTTCAAAGTGTAAAAAGCAATTTGCACCCGATTCACCACAATGCATTACATGAAACCAAGTTACCTGACTCGTTTTTCAGGCCGATACACTCTCAGATTACCCCCTGAAAGCAAGTGTAGCACCAGCCTGAAGGCGCTCCACCATGTGATGGCCGGGTTCATTCATAACTAAGTTGACAAATAGCTCTAGGTGAAAGAAATAGAAATCTGAAGAATAGGATGATCCGTCTGTGATGACACTAAAAGCTACAGTATTGAATTTGGCCAAGGGGATCGTGAACCCATCTTTATAAACGTCCAGCGTATTCAGTCACCATTTTGTTGAAGCCCAGCTTTTTTGCAGCTGCACATTCCTCTTCACTGAGGGCCAGGTGGGGGTCATGAAGTGGGAAGAAACTCTTGAGTGGGGACTGCGAGTGAGTGGCAGACATAATGAGCGGCAATGGCGCGGCGGGTAGTAGTTGAACGAGAGATACAGAAGGCACAATGGGATACTTAGACCCGGTGCCACTCCTCGACAAAAGTTGCCTTGATTTCCCGAGAGGCCAAATTAGTTTTTATTGGAGGTTTGGGGCGGTAAGAGACTTATGGGCGAGTTGTAAGCCAGGAGGAAAGAGGCACCGCGGAGAGAGGAAAGTACATGATTTGTCAGCAAACTGATAATTCACATGTACCATAAAGTACCGCGGACCACTAAAGAGTGTTCCAGGCCGCAGTAGGCCTAACAATCACATTGTGGTGGGTGAGGTTAGATTGCCTTGCTGCCTGCAGCCAGAAGCTGAGGAGCAATTCTAACCATCATAATGTTGATTTCTTGTACATTGGCCTTGGTTACATTTATTGGACTTTGTTCTTTAAGTTTTTTTTGTTCTCACTCCTAAGCAACAGCAACAACCCACATAGAAGGCCCTTTTACTGTTCTGTGACATTATACAACCACACTGAGGATTAACAGTTTTTCAGGCTCCTTAAGGATTACTTAGACTTGAGAGCTCTCTGAAGAACCACCACTGATATTTTGTAGTTGCACTTGCAGTAAGAAAACTCCGAAGGGATGTAGATGAGGAGCGAATCATCTCATTTTGTCAATGAGACACTGGACACCGATATTAGAAGAAGCAAGCAGGTAAGAGGAAGAGGTCTATCAACCTAAAAAGTAAGCGTCCTAGACACCTTCCGTGGTTCCAGAAGAAAGACGGGAGGTTCTGTGAGTGTGTTTAGACAGAGGAGGTAAGAGTCGAAGAACAGCGACAGCTACTAAATAAACGGTTGAGGCTCAGTGAAGCAGTTAAAACAGCCTGTAAGCTCCAGCCCCTAGGTCTCCTGGTGAGAGGCAGAAACAAACCAGCCTACAGCATAAAGCATAAAAGCAAGCATGGACCCATGACTCAATACTTTACAATAATGTGGTCTGAGTTGCACAACGCGGGATAACCAACGAACAGGCAACGTTTCAAGGTAAGTGCCCAGCAGGAAGACCAGGAGTCACATACGAAAACAAAGGAAGTCCAAAAAAATTGCGTGTCAAGACAGAAACCCGGACAGATTGTAGCTCCACAAAGCTCCCTCAATGGATATTCCAAGTCAACTTCAAGTCCGGAATGTCCAAGTTCACTTTTTTTGTGCTAAACACCACTGACCTATCTGTGTGGATCGATGAGAGAGAAAGAACTGCTGCCAATAGCTATAGAGCAATAACAACAACAACAAAAGCTTCTCCTAAAATTGAAATGTATTTGAAGCATTTTACAGTTGTATAGAATTACCACATAGTAAAGATAATTAGTGTATAATAGATGATGAGTGGCAGAAATATGCTACAGGTACATGTTCAGAACTTGATTTATGTTGTTGTGCATGTGCTTTGCTTAATATAAAATCTTACTATATGTAAAAGTCACAAAGCCAAACACTGAGTTAATACAAACCATAAATTCCACATTGTTTTCATTCTGCTAATGAGAAAAACACGGAATCTTAATGACATATCTTAATCTCAATTCAAGTCATGAATTGAATCGAAAATGTATTTTATCTCATTTTAGATTTTTAGCTCTCCAAACCCATCAAAATTATGTTTACCAAAGTATGGTGACTGAATTCTGTATACATTTGAGCCTCTTCTCTTCGTCAGTCACCCAGAGAGTCAAATTAAAAAAGGATTAGAAGCCGAGAAAGAATTAGAGGGATTAAAAATGATTCTCAGCATGCAGCACAAATCCACAGCTAAGGTGGTAAAAAGTGATTGATGGTAGATTTTACAGCTCATATTAGCTTGGGTTTTGAGGCGTGGAGTCGGTCTCTTAACTGATCAGCAGTGACACCGGCGTAAGCTCAAGCAACAAGCTGCCCATATTTTTACATGCTTGAAGGGATTGAAGGGCCTCCCGCTGGCTCTCTTGTGTTGATAAGTGGTCACAAACTAATTGAAAGCAGCCTGAATTCCGTACCTCGAACAGTGAGTCAAATTAAGCCTGACAAAGCAGTGGGGAAGCTCCTAGTTACATGTACACCGTTTACAAGATTAAGAATAATTCGGCCACTGCCGAGGTTTACATTTACTGTTCAAATATTCCCAGAGTGCAGCAGATCTTAAACCACGAATCTAAACTGAGCTCATAGACGCACCAAAAACTGTCAATGACTCAAGTTCTTGAGCATTATGGCGCATATGCTGTAAAACAGGTGGGAAGTTTCCATGAGGGGAGGATTTCTTGAATTTGTTTTGTTGCTTTGGAGACGAGCAGACACGCATCGGTGGGAGTTGGGGTGTGTCTGGCAGGGCCGTCTAAGGGACAGCCAGTTGTCCAGATCATACGACAACTATAGCACTCAAGTCCAGAAGCAGCAACGATAAGACATACGTGCATTGCCTTCCCCTAGAATTTTAAACATTACCTTAAAGTTTCTTTTTTGTCATTTTTGGTCACCACTTCATTGACAGTTGCTGCTATCATATTATCTAACTTAACATTAAATGTTGCCATTGTGCTGCTATGATTCAGGGAAGTCGCCAATTGGCATCAATTCCATCCATCCATTTTTGTAACTGCTTATTTCCAAATGGGGTCAAGGGAGAAGTGGAACCTAACCCAGTATTCAACGGGCGAAAGGCGGGGTACAGGCTGGATAGTCCGCCAGTCCATCGCAGGGCCACACAGAGACACACAAGGACAAACAACCACACACACTTACACTCACTCCTAAGAGAAATTTGGAATGTCCAATCAACCTAACATGCAGGTTTTTGGATCGTGGGAGGATGCCGGAGAGAACCT